TTCACCAAGGTGGGTGACACCTGTACAGGTTTACATAGAATTAACATAGGTTTGCATTGAAGTACCCGTTAATGCCTATAGTAAATGACCCAATGGTTAAACATTTGCTTAATTTAGGTGTGATTTGCAAATACTGTGCATTGAATGGACTCTAATATGTAATTGATTGACTAATCGGAGGTTTTCTGCAAAATGCAAACTTGTTTTCACAATTTGCAGACAAGAGTGGATCAGTTAGAGGGGTGTAAAGTGCGGCACAATATAAACCATCACTTTATGATGAGTTTGTAAATGTGCACATTATTTAAGGCTCGCATATTCGGTAGTTTATAAACAGTTAGTTCAGTTAGTCTTAAGTTAAACTTTATTTAATAAGTTTTTGTCGTTACAGTTATATGCGCTTAAAGTTTGGATATATTTACTGTTATAAATGGTAATCATGTTTAAAGTATATGTTTAGTGAATAAGCGTATGAAACTATGAGGGGATCCTTTGCCAGACTCGATGGCATCGATTTATATCATAAATCAATAGTTGTCTTGAAGTTTGAATTAGTTTTACAGCAAAATCTATGATAAGAAAAGCATTGATTGGCTATTATTTTCATGAAAGTACAGCTAATGGGAGAAAGTAGTGAAGAGTGGGAAGAGAGGGAACACTGCCTTCGGTTCACATATGGCTTACTATTGACAACACATGACGTCATTCACTATAATGTCAACAAATAGTGGAAAAAGCAAAACAAATGAATTGAATTTATTAATCAATTTATTTAAACACTTTATAACATAAACACTGATTACTGCATAGGAATTGTCTAAACAATTCAATACATATGTAGTCTATATATCATGTTTTGGCCAAATATTTGCCAATCATTTCCATATAAAAGCAATGATTTAAGCGTTCATTCAATTCACTTCTCGTTTAACTTTCAATCGTTTCGCAAATTAAAGCAATTTTTATGTTTTTATTGTAGTTTTTAATTGGATTTTATATATAAATGTTGTTTTAATACAAATGTCCGCACAAATGGATGTCAACTCTTCGCTATCACTATTGGGATCAATTGGTTGGTATCAGCTGTACGTGTATTTGCTGTCATGTGTGCCCGTAATCAACGCCGGAGTTGTTATGCTGTCTCTGGTCTTCCTCTCCGCTACTCCTAATCACCGGTAAATTAACACTACTTTTCAATACATATCTATTTATATCCGTAATGACTGACCCGTCGTGTTGTCCAACAGATGCTTTGTTCCCAACTGTGATTCAATGGGACTGAATGTCAACTTCTTCGAGACGTTTGTGTCTCAATCCATACCAAAGACGTTGAGCTCTTTCGTGGCGTATGAATCGTGTCATCGATTTAAAGCATTTAACGATTCAATGGCCAGAAATGATGCCAAACATGAATGTGATATCAATTGGTTCACAAATGAGACCGAAAGTTGTGATGATTTTGTTTTCGACACAAACCAGTTTCGGTCTACTGTTGTCACAGAGGTTTGACAATTGTATTATTGATAACACTTTTTTATTAAGTTTTATGTTTCATAAATAGTTTAAGAAAGTGTGCGACAAGTCGTGGGAGATGTCATTGAGTCAATCTATATTTTATTTGGGAGTACTTACCGGTGCTTTCGTTTTCGGAGTCTTTGCCGATCGGTTTGTATTTAACTATCATTTGTCATAAAATATATATTAATTCATTAATATTTCAATTCGTTAGTTACGGGCGTCGGTCAGTGTTTATGGTGGCGCCTATACTCGGCTTCTCTACCGCTCTCTTCTCATCATTTGCTCCCAATTTCCTAATGTTTACCATAAGCTCAGCCGTGACGGCCGCCTGTATTGCAGGCATGTATCAGACGGCCTTCATTATAGGTATGGCTATACATCGCCTTTTTGTGTTAAACAACAAAATGTTTGATTATATGTGTGTTGAGTGCAGGCATTGAGTTCGTTGGCGGCCAATGGAGAGTGTGGTGCGGAAACCTTCATTCTGCACTGTTCGCAGTCGGGGCCGCAATCCTATGCCTTATGGCCTATTATATACGCGATTGGAGAGAATTGCAGTTTGTTATCGCACTTCCCATCGCATTCACGCTCTTTTATCCCTGGTTTGCTATAAGATATGGCAAACTAATCAGTCATTGATTTTTGTTTGTTTTGATTTTAAGGCTTTTCCCGGAATCGGTTCGTTGGCAGGTATCCAATGGGCAGATGTCTAAAGCAATTAAGACAATCAGAAGAGCTGCCAAATGGAACAGTGTTTACATTCCTGAAGAATATTTGTACGCTTCCGAAGACGTAAGTTATTATCTGTTTATTTAGATCTCACTTTCAGTTATTAAAACAATATTGTATTATTAATATGAGATTTATTGATGCATTGCTTTATGTATTTTTGTGAAACTTCCTTTGGAAAAGTTTTTTTAATTTGTTGTGTTTTCGTATAATTTTAAGTCAATATATTTGTTTACATCACTATCTGTGACATTGGCTTCAATTAATACACAGAATTCATTGAATTAAAAGTGAATATAAATCAGTCTCTCATCTCTAACTCAAACATTTCTCATATGTTTCTTACGATAAACCAGTCATAGAGAAGTCAGTCTATGTTTCCTAATAGAGATCCCATTACTTGACGATTGGAATATAATATCGAATGATTTTATCCAAAGTTTATATTATTTAAACAAATTGCTGTCTTTTGAGGCTAAATACTTACAATATACAGTACATGTTTTATATCTGTCCAGTGCTTGTACAGTAAACAATTTTGTCACAAAAGTTTATTTTGTTTGTAAATATTGTTTTTTTAAACAAAATATTTTCTAAATGTATACACATTTTATAAGAAAACAGGATTTGCAGGAAATAAACAATTCATTGCATAGAAACAGAAATCATGAAATTGTGTCACCAATTATATCACATAAAATGTTAATTTTTTGTTCTTACGGTTAGTCACACTTCACGGGCAATACTTCACGACAAACGAGCAAATCAAAACATTTTGGACCATTGGATATACTTAAGCACCACATTATCCGTGTTTGGGCTTTCAATTTATTCTTCATTTGGTATGAAATTATTTAAATATAGAAATATTTCCTCAATTCTTATAACAGAAGCAAATGTGTTGAATAGGTTTACGACTTCACTCGTCTATTATGGCCTTTCGTTTCAAGCGTCAAATATTGGGTCCAATATTTACATCACGTTTGGTTTCCTAGCGTTAGCTGAGATACCGGCCATTATATTGTCCACAATTGCAATGCAAATCTTTGGTCGCAAAATAGTTTTATGTTTTCTGTTAATAGTGGGCGGAATATCGTGTATAATACCGGTATTTCTACCCGAGTCTTACAGCGCGTACATCACAGTGTGTGCTGTATTTGGCAAAAGCAATATCGCGGCCGCCTTTTCACTCATTTATGTCTATTCTGTTGAGATATTTCCCACTATTTTGCGGAGTTCTGGTCTCGGAATGTGTTCAATGAGCTCAAGAATTGGCGGAATTCTCGCTCCACAACTCATAGGACTTGTAATAGATATCTAATTGCAAATCATTTGCTATAAATTAAATTATTGTTGAATTATTTTAGTCAGTATTTGGCAAATCGTTTCCATTACTGATTGCGGGTTTGGTGTCTGTGGTCGCCGGCCTTCTAGTCGTGAATTTGCCGGAAACACATAACAGACAATTACCCGAAACACTGGAAGACCTGCAGTTCCTCAAAGATGGCAATAAAGAAGTGTCCTTTAAATTGGGTTCAAAACAGAGTTGCAGTCGAATGGATGACAAAGAAGAAAGAGTCAAACTCTTGTCTGATCACGAAATTTAGACAATGATTTGGTTTGATTTGTTTTCCACTCATTTGACAATTTATTACAAATATATTTATTTGAATTCCATTTTGTTTACACATAAGAATTCATTTCCATTTAAAGCACATATATTTTCTTAGAAACTTTAAAATCATTATTTATCATTAAATTTTATATTGTTTTACAAATATTATAGTTATTAGTTTGAAATTTTAAGAATTAAAAAATAATAATGTTATCAATTATGAAATCGTTTCTTTGAATTACATGATTACACATTTCTAACTACAAAACAACAAATGATTCACATTTGCAACAAATTCTCGTAATATTTTATTTATAGCATTATTTTATAGTAAATACTCTTTAAAATTTATCATATGTTTGTAGTTTAAACTTTAAAGTTATGTTTTAAATAGTACTGTATTTAGAAAAGTGATCGCAATATTGGTTCCCAGAATTGACAGTTTTGAATGATATCGGGATTAAAACCATTGTTCCCTTTGTATCGATCAAAGAAGGTTTGGCCCAAATTCTTGTCATTCAGTTCTATGTAATTGAGACTCACGTCTCGCATATCTCCCGTTGTCTCCACACTATATGCTGGCCATTGATGTCCATTCACAACAGGAGGAGCGCTATTAAATATACAAGTTATTAAACTATTTGACTATTAAT